TTTGAGTGCAAAATGGCTTCATTAAATAATGGCCTGAAGAACTGGCTGTGTCATCATCTCCATGGTTTTCATTGTCCCAGCTACAACAGATCAGGGGATTGGAACCAGTTTTAAAGTGCCACCCAGAGCCTGCTGAGGGTTTCTGTTGGTTGTGGAAGCATCAGCAGAGATGAGGATCCAGTTTCATTGTGGATTGCGTGGCAGGGCTTTATTGCCCTCTGAGCAGGGAACTTGGAAGGGCAGGCTGTTTGCCATGGCTGCTGGATCAGCAAATCTGTGACACAGAAATCCAAAGGGTGCGTTTCTTGCACGTGTGTGTTTGTATGTCAGCGTGCATTCCCTCATGCTCTGCCTTCTTCTTGCAGTTCCCACGTTTGTTTCTTTCCTGAAGGAAGTGGAGTCTCCCTATGAGGTCCATGATTACATCAGAGCCTATCTTGGGGACACTCCTGAGGCCAAGGAGTTTGCCAAGCAGTTTCTTGAGCGCCGTGCCAAACAGAAAGCCAGTCAGCAGAGGCAACAGCAGCAGCAGCAGGTAAATCCCACTCCCTGCAGTCTTCAGGAGCATGTGGAGACTGTTGGAGTCTGGAGAGCCTGCATTCCTGCTGCACTGATGAGCAACCTTTTGTAGGTCCTATGCAGCGCAGAGAATTAAGCAGATTTCAGATTTTTGTCCTTCATAACTCACAGTTGAGGCCAACTGTGGATCAAACAGTATCTTTGCCTGCTGACCCGGGAAATGCCGTGGAACCATGAGGTGGATGCAGCAGTGCCTGGTGCTGCCACAGGGGATGTAGGAAGTGCTTTGGACACTTTTTGAATGTTTTCTGTATAAGTAAACCAACCTTAATTGTGCTTTACAGTCTTGCCCTGACTTTGTTTTGTAGGATTCAGTGTGGGGGATGAACCACAGTTCACTACATTCGGTCTTTCAGACCAACCAGAGCAACAACCAGCAATCCAATTTTGAGGCTGTGCAGGGCGGGAAGAAGAAGAAGAAACAGAAGATGGTTCGGGCAGATCCCAGCTTGTTAGGTCAGTCCTCCTCTTCAGAAATTAATGGTCAGTTTGGGAGTGGGAGTTTGCCTTGTGAAGTGCAGAATTCTTACTGATCTTGAGTGGCAATACTGAATTTAAGCTCAGTTGAAGTGTCTTCAGAATTTGTTTCAATTACTGTTATTATTTAATGATTTGAAAAATTCCGTACCAGTCTCGTGGAAAGCTTTTGTCAAACTTTCCCTCATGTAAAGACCTCTTTGATACCTTGATTATTACCTGGAAACCCTTAAGTAGTTCAGGGATGTCAGTTAAACTGCCTTTCCTCTTGTGAGTTGACCTGTGCTTTTTTTATTGATTTACTGCTAATTCGTTCTTTGAAGAAAAGCACATTTTCTGTTCCTTCACAAGGAGCAGCTTCCTGAGGCTGCCTTTGTGCCTTCCTGCCCTTTTACAGGAGCTAACCATCCTAGGCAGAAAAGATGGCAAAGGTGGAATGGTCCTGGATTTTCAGTTGGTGGCAGATGATGACATCATTAGCAGTCCTTTATTATGTTCTCTATCTTAATTTTTATGTGCAGGTGGTATTAACCAGCTGCTGTCACACTGATGGAAAAGTTTCTTTAAATTTAAGACACAAGGGCATCATGTAAGTCCCTGAGTACTGTGGGGTGTAGTTGATGTAGAATAAATGTGTCCACGTTTGTACTCTGTGGGACAGAAGGAAACCAGGGCGCTTGTGCTGGGGCTTCTTAGCCCACATTTATGTAAAGCAGCCTGGTATTATCCACCTGAAGTCACTGCTTTTTTTACCCTCTGGCAGAGCCCTGCCTTTGTTTTTTGTCCTTTGTTCTCACCAAAACCAATACTCTTCACCTGAATCAGTGATTTCTGCATTGATGAATACTGAACTTTTCAGTGGGATCCTGACTTCTTCCACCCCAGTGAGTCTGATCTGGGGACTCTGTTGGATATATTAACAAACCAACTCGTGTAATGTCAAGTCACTAAATACAATTTAGAAGTTTCAACTGTACGAGAAGTAGCACGTGCAGCTTTTTACAAATGAGCACACTCACTCTTTTACAGCATACTTTCAAATTCTTGTAGGTAGCACACTGCCACGAGAGGGAACCAGAGTGATTTTCCTGAACCTACTGAACAGAGCATTTCTCATCTCTTGAAGATGAGACTGTGGAAAGCAGTTGGTCCTCTAGCACAGAGCAGCTTGTGGGGCAGTCTCCAGACAATGAAATGTCAACTTTGTGTTTAGTAAAAACACAGGAAAACTGTCCCTTTTGTCATACTCCCTATGGGGTTGTTACAGCCATAAAATGAGATTTAAGGAGGAAGGTTGCATACGATCTACTGGATTTTTGAAAGTGCTTTCACTTATTCTCATGTCCTCAGCACTTCATGGCTAAAAGGTTGGGTAGAGGTTTGGGTACATTTTAGCCACCTGCATGGCCCTGTGTAACTTTACATTTTCATATGGTGCTCCAGAGATGGGGACTGTAAAAAAGCATTTCACAGATTTCAGGTGCATGTGTTTGGACTTTAAAGTAAGGAGTGGAATTGCTCACAGCCCCCGAAGTGCTGGGCCCGGTTCCATATTTGGATTCCAAGGTCTCAGAAGGTCCCTTTCTGCCTCTCAGGCTGTGGCAGGAGGGTGTTGGCAGCCACTGCCCAGTGCCAGTTGACTTAAATGTGCTCCTGTCGGAGATGCTGCAGAGCCACGTGAGCGCTGGTGTGTGTGATGCTCTCAGTCTTGCTCTGCTGCTGCACATCCAGACTTACCCCACCACACACAACATCCCCCAGGCAGGTGTTTAACCCCAGTCCTCTCTGGTTGCAGGGTTTTCAGTGAATGCCTCCTCAGAGCGGCTCAATATGGGAGAAATAGAGACTTTGGAAGACTACTGAGCATGTGCAAATCAACTGGCTTTTCCTGCATCTGTTAACCATGGATTCTCCGTTTGGACACAGTGCTCTCCACCGTGTGTTGTTCTTCACCTCGCAGTGAATCACAGGATCAATCATCTCAGGCTGCTTCCTCTGGCCCCAGCAAACCCTTTGTGCCCAGGACTGCACAGGCGTCGTTCCTCCTGTCAGCCCAGAGTCCCGTGGACTGCTCAGAGCCCTGGGAGGGTGGGAGTTAGGATTCCTTCACAACAAGGCTGATTTGGGCAGCGAGCTTTCACTGTGCTGTGATTCCTTCTGCTGACATACCTGGAAAAAAAAAAAAATCAATTGGGATTCTGCAAACTATTGCTTCCCTCTCCTGGTTACTCTTACCACATCCCATACGTGCAGTCATATGGAGAGAGAGAGAGAGAGAGTGAGAGTTTGTGGTTAACAGATGTTGGTCCAAGCCCAGTGCCCCAGCTCCTGCCTGGGCTGCCCCGGGGCGGGTGCTCTGGGCCAGGAGGGCACCATAAGCTAACGCAGAACTGGCGGCAGCACGAGAGGGGCGGTGGCGGGCGCAGTTTAGCTTGGGTTGGTTTGAAGTTGCACACCCCCTGCCAGCCCTTCTCAGCACATTATTTTTGGAGGGAAAGCTCGAGTCTGTCTTCATTAGGTGGTGATGCTGGAGCTACTGGAGTTCCCCGTGGACGTACTCCAGCCTTCCCGGACAAGTGGGGACTTCTGCTCTGGGAAAAAAAGGGGGGTGGCATCTCTTCTTTCAGGTTGAATTTACCCCTTACATGCTACCTTCCGAGGGTTAGGACCAGTTTATTTTGAGCTCTTTTCCTGCAAATTTGTCTCGTTTAAGAGGCAGTGGGATGTTGACGTGTGGCTGTGTAGTCTCTGCGGAGGGTGGACGCTGGCTCTCAGACACGTGCCCAGCAGGCCCGGCTGGTTGTCATTTCAGTGCTTAGGGAACGAGCAGAGGTGCCCTTTCGTCGTGAGGAGAGACACTGGAGGACAAAGCTTTGTGCAATGACGGCCCTGCTTATCTTCTACACCTTAAACTACTTCATGCACCTTCACTGGGATCCATAATCTCTGAGTATTTTATGGAATCATAACCTTCCTCTCTCACCGAAAGATTAACACCACCTTCCCTGCTCCACCTGCCCACCCACCCACATGCACACACCGCAAAGAAAGAGAAGGAGAACTGCCAAATGCACTTAGTTTGACCCCCTGGTCCCATCTCCCGTCCCCAGAGGGTTGTAACCTGCGAGGGAGATCCGCTGCAGTTTTGGTGGAGTTGTGTAAAGGTGTCTGTTGTTCTGTCATCACTGCCTAAAGAAAACAGTTCGAGTTGCTCAAGAGCAGTTTGGCTTTGGATTTTATTTCATTTGGTTTATTCATTTTTTTGGGGTCACCTTCCCCTTCTCCTCTCTCTTCCCCCTGCCCCCAAACATGTACAGTAACTATACAGAGACTGCTGCAGACTTGTATATAGTTTTTGGATCCAATAGCATGGAGAGACTTGGAACTGTTGCAAATCTGGTCTCCCTGTCTCCTTTGCTTTGTAAATTCATAAAAGGGGGAAGAGGGGTAGTTAAAATGTTTACAAAACTTTAAACTCCCTCTGAACTTTTGCCAGTGTGGGGGGGAAAAAGAGAGAACTTAAATAAAACCTGGTTGTATTATATCTGAGAGAAAACTTTCTGCTTGCTTTTGTCAAAGCCGAGTTTTGAGATAATTCCTGGTGCTAAAACTCACCCCAAACTCGACTTGCCTCAGTTTTCATCAAGAAGCAACAAGCAAATGCACAGGATGTGGAACAACAACTGCTGCTTTATTTTTTCCCTGGTGAGGAATAACCAGTGGGTTTTTCTGCTTGATAATTTTAGAGTTCAAATAAACACCAGTAAGTTGAGATTGGAAACAAGAAAGCTTTAATTTCCCCTCCCCCCTTGTACAGAAACACGTGAATTCATGCTCGTGTTGTTTGTGCAGGGGAGATCAAGCCCTGGTTCTCTCTCACTCCTTTGCAGTGGGTGACCACCCCACCCACCCCCCTTCACTGCTGTCAATGAGAGGTTTGTCCACACAGACACCTTGTAGGTTTCCCTTTTCAGACTTAATTTTCCTTTTTTTCTGCTTGCTGCTTATATTTGTGTGGAAAATCCCAGTAAAAGGTAATGATAAATGTTCTCCTGCCGTTCCCATAACCACAGAAAGTTAAGTGTGCTAAGGCCCAGCTTACACAGTGCCTTGCATGATGTTTAGCTGATGTCTCAGAGAGGACAGGACATGTTTAGGCTGATAACCTGACTTTGTTTTAATATCTTCTCTCTTTTTTTTAGCATATGAGGTGCCTGGTTAATGAGTGCTTTCTGTTTTTTAATGGTATGATCTAATTTGTGCAAACCAGTTTTGGAATGCTCTCTGCCATGTAACAAATACACAAAAGCCCATTAATTTCCAGCTCAGGTGGGGGGCAGGGAAGGAGCAGCTCCTTGATTGCTGCATGAAACTGGAGAAATGCAAGCAGAGGAAATGTGCAGTAGACCCTGAGGGTCTCACTGAGTTTGTCAATAATGGACCAGTGGAAGATCTTGCTCTTAGTACTGAAATGTGCTGGTTTCTGTGTTTGGTACAAAGGGGAGGCTCTGGCATGTGTGGATTGTGTGACTGCCTTGTCACCTCCTGTGACAAACACAGGGCCTGTTTCTGCAGCAAGAGTTGTTTGGATCAGTAGGAGTGGGAAAAATAGGAACTGTGGCATTTTACCTGCTGCTGGATGTATTTCTGTGCGTGGAGCCCCTCTGCAGACAGAACCTGATGGGCTTTGCTCCAGGTTTGATGGGTGATGTTGAATTCGATGCTGGAGCTGTCTGAGTTTCTTTTGAGCAGGATGCCCAGGTCACTGCCTCACTCCTTGTTCCACTGCAGGGACAGTACTCTGCTCTCTCTGGTTTTGCTGCTTCCCCTCTCAGCCAGGCACTTCTGCAAAGGCCTGCAGCAAGCAGTGGTTTAAAGGGACACCTTAACCATGTCTGGCTGCCTGTCAGAGAAAGCCAAAAAGCAAAGAGATCCCTTAGCAGAAAAATCTGTATCTGAAATTTAACACAAAATACTTGTGTCATATTTTCAGAGCATAAAGTACTAACATTGGGAGTGTTTGTGTACCTCATTACTTGAAGGGAAAACATGAAGTATTTAATATTCAACAGTTCAAAAAATCCTAATGAAATTCTTCCGTGACAGTAAGCTGGAGTGTTCCCCTTTTTATACACTTCATCCTTCCCCCAGTCTCTGTTGGTGCAAATGTGATTTGAAACAAGCTTGTTTTCTGTGCTGTGACCTTCCCACGAGCCCCCAGGCGGGCAGGGGCGATGGCAGAGCTGGCAGGAGCGGTATCTGTGCACTTGGGATCGCAGGAGGATGCTGGCCCTGCCCTCCAGAGCCGACTCTCCTGCAGGACTTCCCAGCGTTAACCGGGCAGTGGAGACCACCCACAGCTCCCAGTCCACCTCTGTAAGTATTCACCCAGACCTGGATGCCACGGGGCTGATCTGGCTCTGTCAGAGCCTTTTAGCTCTGATTGAGGCCCTTGTTTGCTGTGCCCACCCTGCAGTGCCTGCCCGGTGAGGGCAGAGCAGAGCCCTCAGTGCTGGGCTGCGGGCTTTGGGCTGGGCTGCCCCAATGGCTCCTGTGTTATTCCCGTGCCGAGGGAAGGCATTCCAGGAGCACCCCGTGGCCTCTGGGAAGGGCTCACCAACAACTGCTCTGTGTGCACTGGGCTGGCAGGGGACGCTGCCTGAGGCTGGGCTGCTCTGGGCTCTAGGCACAGGTTTGGGAGGGAGGAGCTGCCTTCGGGAGGAGCTGTGCTCCTGGAGCCAGAGCGAGGGAGGCTCTGCTGGGCTTTGCACTCTCTCCGCACACTTGCCGTTGTGAAGGGAATTATTATTTTACCTGTCTGGACAAGATTTTTCTTGTAGCAGTGACATTCCCACACTGTGTCATACTTTGAAGAGTTTTAAGGATTCCTGCCGAGGCTGTTCCTGAGGGAAGCCATGCCCTGCCACAGAGCCCTTCGCCTGGTCCTGCTAACGCTGTGTGGCATCCTGGTCCCTGCTGTGCTGGCAGGTAAGGAGCTTCGTTTGCATGGAAAGCCCAAAAGTGTGGAAGATCCTTTACTATGATGATGCTTCTCTCTCTTCTCCCTTCCCTGAAAAGATCTATTATTCTATGTGTTGAATTAGAATTGATTAATGGAAACCAGCTTTGGAATTGGTGGCTGGTGGTGAGTAAGATTTTATATTTTCCATCCCCAAACCAAGTTTCTCTTGGGGAAAATGGAGAAAATTCTTTGTAACTTTTCCTAAGCAGAACAGCAGTAACACGTATGTGAGCGTAGGTGGCTGGAGATCAGTGGACACATCAGGCACAGGAGGTGGAAAACCTCCCAGCAGCTGAGGGGACAGGCTGTCCGTCAGCTTTTAATGGCAGGAAGAAGTTACAGTTGTGAAAAGAAATGGGTTTCTGTGGCTAAACATGTGGGGCCATTCCTAATTCCTTCTGCACTCTGCTACAGCAGGGAACTCCCCCACAGCTGCTGCTGGCAGAAATAGGGAAGTGTCCACGAAAACCTCCATCCAGAGCCAAACTCTGCATCCTCAGGGGGGTCTGTGCAGAGCTGGGGGTCCCGAGGCAGCGCTGGGAAGGCTCTGCCCTGTGTTCAGTGAGGGATGGGAATCACAACAGGTGAGATGCCTGTTCTGTAAGGCATCATTTTGAGGGAATCCTCAGTAATTTCAGCCCTACGTGCCTGCCCTCGGCACCGTGTGCTGCTGCGGGGAGCACAGGCAGCCCCGCAGGGCTCGGGAGGGTTTTACGGGTGAGGGAAAAGGGGCTCCCAAAGCCGCCGTATTGACGGGCTCTGAGCGTGTAGGTGGAAACTCCTGTGGGGAACGGCTTCCCTCACAGCCTTCTTTCAGGTGGAGGTGAGGCTGAAGGGATGGCTGGGGCCACGATAACAGGCAGGAGCACGGCATTTTCCTGAATTCCTGTCCTGCCTCCCTAGAGCAAGGCTGGTTTGCAGTTCCCTCCCGTTTTGTTCCGAGCATCTTGCCTAGCAGGGAGATCCTGGCCAGCTGGTTAGCAGATGAAATTATGAAATCACTTCTTTTTAAAGGGGCTTTCATAGGGTAGGAGAACTCAATGCTGTGCCTGGCTGGAACACCTATGGGTGCAGGAACAGAATTCCTGCAGCTGGTATCCTCCCCTTGGAGGACACCTTCCTGCTGGGAAACTTGTCAAGTAACTAAGAAACAAGCACTGAAAAGTGGGTACTTTCCTTCTCAAACCCTCAGCTGTTTTGTACAGTGGATCATTAATCACTTTAGCTCGGTTTCAGTTTGTGCCTTGCTCTTTCTCCCAGAAGCAGTGACCATGCTCTTGCCCGGCACCAGGTAAGATCTTTTCTTCATCATTAACAGTGTTTCACTCTGCAGGAAGTGATTCATTTCCAGTGAGAATTCAGTCTATTTCTTCTCTGAGCTGAGATTTCTTCTATGCTGTTTAAATTTCCAGTATTTGGTGCATATTTGCTCTGCCTCCCTCCTTGCCAGCTTTCCCGTGGGCCTCCTCTGGCAGTGCCCTGTCGCTGCCTCCCTGTGTCACTTTGTTGTGACTCCCACTGTCACTTTGTTCCCTTGAGATACTCCCGGGTTTCCTCGATCCCTTTACTGGATGAGTTGTGCTCATGCAGCAAGGCCAGTACTCTTGAAGGGCTTTGTGCTGGTGAGTGTTCAGATCCTGGCATGCAGGACAGACTTCGTGCTTTCTCTGCTTACAGCCTCTGCCGAGTTGTTCCCTGCTACCTCAAAGAGGACATGAAGGAACCAGTGTGGATGGAAAGCCATCCCAGGAGCAGAATGACTCTCTGCTGCATTAGGCATGGAGAGTTCCTGCCCCAGTACAGGAGCTTTCAGCACACAGTGGAATTTTTTCTGCCTTTTACTCCACTAGAATTGGAGATTTCCTGTCTGGTGCAGACAAAGAGGGGAAGGGCACAGCCAGCCCCCTGGTCTGAGCACATCCACACGTGGCCCTGCCCCTCTGTAAACAAGTTTACTCCCCGTTCCTCAGGACCGCAGCGCTCCGTGTCACTCCCTGTGCTCCCCACCGGAGCTGCGGCGCTGCCCGGCACAGATGCCCTTTGTGCTCCCGGTGAAGGCCTCTTTTCATCCCTGCCCTGGCCCCGTGCCCACCGTGGCCACCTGGGGCTGGACAGCCCGGTGCTGTCCTCAGAGTTCACCAACCCTGCCCTCCATCTCAGCACCTCTGACTGCACAGCAGAGCCCTCCCCTGCCCTGGACGGGCTGCAGCTGGTGCTGGCCACTCTATCAGCAAACCCAGTGTCAATTCCTGTCGTAGATTCAGAGCTCCAGGTGAAGTGGAAACGAGTAAAAAGCCTGGGCAAGGTGTGGGCTCCTGAATTGTGTACACATTTGCTATCTGGATTCACAGCCGGGCTCATGAGTTTCTTTGGTTTGAGCTACTGTGCAGATGTATTGTACTGTGGGGGCACATCGGGAGTTTGAGGGGAAAAGCAGCAGGGCTGATGTGCTAAAGGAAAACAAACAGGACACTGCCTTGACCGGGGACATCTCTGTAGCAGCTCTGGTGTGTCCTCATTCTCAGCTATAGGAGACTAAAAGGTTATTAGGAAGTTTTTAAAGCTCAGTGAGTAGCAGTAAATAGGTTTTGTCGGGGAAGTTTCTGGAGAAGATGTGGTTCAGACTTACAGTAGGACTTTGTCAGCCATTACTCAACCTTGCTCTGTACCAGCACTCCTTGTCAAGTACTGATGATGCCATTGACTCCTGACTGAGGTTGCTGGGTTGGAAGTGGGGAGTGAGGATGACAAGGTGCTGAAACCAGCTTGTGTGAGCAAGAGCTTTGGTCACTGGTGAGCAGTGTCGGGGATGAAGATGTGAAGTGGCCACATCTGCCAGCCCTGAGGTCTTGCAGTCTGCTTGTCTGGGAGCATCTGGATCTCTCCAGCCCATGTGGCTGGAGTTCCCCTGGGTCCCTGCATCCTCAGAAATCTTATGGTGGATTTCTTTACAGAAACTCTGGGATTTTCCTCCCTTTTCCTGGTCTAACAACAGTTAGTTGTAACTAACCTGTGCTAGAGAGAGGGAGAGGACACAGTGCAGCAGAGAGGTTGCCCTAAAATAAGACAATTTGCAGTGTCAGTGTATGGGAAGGTGGAACTGCCATCATCCACCTGGCATACTGGAATACTTTTAGTATAGTTTCTAGTATAGTAGTAGTATTCCAGTATTACTTCTAGTCCATTTTGTCCAGTTCCATCTCTGCCCAGTAAAGCCCCAGTAAGATAATCATATGTCTTTCTCCTGAGTGTTCTCCAACTGTATTTGTCACAAAGAGGGTTTCACTGTTAGTCTATGGAGAAGAAGTTGCCCTCAGGCCGTTCTCTAGTGCTGAGACAGGGCTGATGCTGGGGAATAACTCTGTGCCTGGACTCGAGGTTTGTCCCTCAGAGCACCCAGCACTGAGGCACGAAGCCTCAGCAGTGTGGGGTTACCTGTGTGCAGCCTGGGAGCCCCTCTATCCACCCCCCTGCCGGCTCTGCTGAGTCACTGTGGGGCACACAGACCACGGGAGTGCCAGGTGGGTTTTTCTAGGGGTAGGACTGATGACAGCAGAGCTGATGCATGGCTCTCACCCAGATGTTAAACATTTGGTCTTGTGTTGGAGCATGTATTTTGAGCATGTTTCTTGCTAGTTCTTTGTAGAAATAAAGTTCTTGGGTGTGCAGGAAAGCCATGTGCTACCTTGCCTTCCATATCTGGTTTCCAACTCTTGGCTGCACCCCTTCACTGGAGATGGCAACGTGTTTGGGTGTTCTCACACCTCAGAAATGCTGTTCTCTGCCTCCAGGGCTGTGCAGCTGCCCTGTACCTTCCCCTTTCCTTGTGCAGAGCTTCTGCTGGGTTGGAGCTGTCCTGGAGGTGTTTGCTCAGTCACAGACATGTCCCCCTGCTCACCCTCAGGGTGACAGTAACTGTGTGAGTGCTCAGGCCTGGCTGCACTGGTGCTGCTTTCCCTGTAGATGGTGTTTAGAGTCCTGGTCTCCTGCTTATGCAGAGAGAAACTGAGCCCAGGAGGGGGAGAGGAACTTGTGGTGGTCCCCCAGAACATGGGCAGCAGGCAGAGAACTGAACTTCGTAACTTGGCTCCTGCACTTGGAGCCTGCCCAGCCTCCATCCAACAGGCGACCAGAAGAGGCCCTCATATCTCACTTGGAGACATGTGAGATCTTATTAAATGTGTATGGTGGGTTTTGGCACCTGACACAAGCTCTGTCCTTCCCCTTGCCTTTCTTGCTTTTCCCAGAGGACTGGAGAGGGAGTGTGGCATTTACTGCAGCTCTGTTAGAGATCCACCGCTCTCAGCCGGTGGCAGCGGGGCTGGCACTCACTGAGACTGTCAGGGAGAAGATGTGGCACCTCTGCTTGGTAGAGAAACCCACTGGATGCATGAGGGTGGTTGGATGGGTGCTTGGACTTCTCAGCCACGCGGGAGTGGAGGCACATGAGGACACGAGCTGTTGGTTTAGGAGGGAAGATCAAAGGTGAGCCATGGAAGAAGTGCTGGCCACGAGCAGGTGCTCTGCCAGGCTGCAGCAGTCGGCTCTGGAGGGACCTGCCTGCTGGCAGTGTTCTCTGGGGGTGGGTTTTGTGTTCCCCCACCAGCAGCGAGGGGCAGGAACCGAGGAGGGGACCAGCCCTGGCTCCCGTGACATTCACTTGTGGGTGTTTCCCTTCATGCCTCTGCACGACTTTGCTGCTGCCTCTGAGCTGACAACCCTGTTTGTGAGGCAGCACAGCCGACTCAAAGGGGTTGTGTTTCCCTCAGCTAAAGCACCGTTAAGGTAAAACCACAAGAACTCGGACAGAAAACGCAGGGTTGGCACACTCTGCCCCTTCTGAGCCGGGGAACTGAAAGCATCAGATGAGGGGAGTTAACCAAGTACATATCCAGCAGCATCCAGGTCTTGAAAAAATCACAGAGATGATAAACAAAAATAACCTGTTTCCTCTGTATACTGGGCTATCAAAAATAAGCTCTGTGCCCTGCTTTTAAAGAGAGCTGCAATAGATTTTTCAGGAATTAAATGGATTCTAAGAGGGGACAGGAGAGACTTTCTGCGACCTGTGGGTCTGGTTATAAAGAACCTTTGCACTCTGGCTGGAAGGGGTAGTGCTCCCTCCTTACCCCTTTGAGAGCTGGGAAGACCCTATCCAGGTCCTGCAGACCCCTGGATGGTGCTGCATCTGTTACAGATCATCAAAGCTCATGCCTGTCCCTGGGCAGATGTGAGGGACATGCCCAGCTCTGGAGAGAAAAAACATTCTTGGGAAAGGCAGCACTGCCATCCTCCCAGCACACTGTTCCTCTTCCAGCTGGGGACAGTGGCAGTGCTGGTGCTGGCCCCCCAGGGTTGTTGACACAGTCAGCAAGGTCACAGCTGGAGTGTGGCTCTTCTGTATGGGGTTTCTCCCCTTGCAAAAGCAGCCTGGAACCAGGGCTTCAAAACTGTTTCGTATGTTTGGCCTGTTCCTAAACCAACAGTTTCTCCACGCCACTGTTGCCAACTAATTAGCCCAGCTCTGCTCAGTTCCTCTCCCTATTGTTTTAACTACCTTTACTCACTGAATTCTGTATTTCCTCCTGCTCCATCCTCTGGTAGTGAACCACAGATTTACAGAAGAGAGCTCCCCTGGAAATGACACTTTCTGGAAGAGCCTCTGGATGGGATGTGAGTCTCTAGCTCTGCTGGTTGGTTTTGCAGCACAGGTTGGGAAGGGCCCTGCAAAGGGCTCAGGTGTTTCTTGGGAGCCCTCTTGGAACACAAAGCGCTGTGTGCTTGTCTGGGGGAGCTGAGCTCACCCCTTTGGTGCAGTGAGGAGGGATGCAGCGGGTGTGTGAGGACACAGAGCACAGGGGGACTGCTACAGCCACTGCTCCCTGGGGGGACAGCCAGCCGGAGTGTGCTGGGGGCCCTGCCTGGCCTAACCAGCTCAGCCCACATGTGGGGACTTGCTTGTCTCTGTCTGTGCTCAGTGGGCTGGGGTTAAACCTGGTAGCTGCTTCACTGAGCATCCTGTAGCCTTTCTGGCTGTTGAAAGGGCTTTCAAAACTAGTTTAGAACACTGTTGTGTCCCCAAGACTGTGGGCAGCCTGGAATAGCTCTGGGGATGGGGGGAGCTACTCTCTGAGGCAAGCCCTGCAGTCATTTCTTGGTGGGTTTGTCCAGGAAGAAAAGGAGAGTGTTTTGGTGCTCCTGTTCCTCTGGATGCAGGGCTCCTACGGGAGAACAGTGTGTGGTGGAGCCCATTAATGACAATTCTTCCTGCTCTGCAGGAGGCAAGGAGGGCTCCAGGTGCTGAGACCTGGGGTGGCACTGCCAGGATGTGCTGCTGCCATCTCTCTTTCCAGGCCATGGAGAGCCTGGGACACCAGGGGTTCTCATGCCAGAGCCGGGGTACCTTGCCCCAGGGAGCTGGGTTGCTTGTTCCAGCTCCTCTGATTCCCTCTGTCCTAGGTGTGATAACCATTGTGTCAGTTCAGGTGGGCCCTGGTTCTGGATGTTCGTTCTTCCCCCCCCCAGCTTTTTTTCCCCATCCCAGTGCAACATTCCCAGCGGTTTCAGCAGGGAGCTGTGGAATGTCTCCTGCTCCCGCCAGGGCCCATCCGAACAAGCTGGGCATTGACAGGGAGCGCTGGGCTGAGCCACACACAGACAGGGAGGGCTCTCTGCCTTGGGCCCTGACCCACGGAGGGGAAGGAATAACAGGAGACCAGTGGTAACATCAGAGCCTGGCCTGGCTTTCATCTCCCTGGTGTGAGAGAGGGAAGTTGAGGCTCTGGGGTCCAGTCTGGGGAGCCGTGTCCTGCGTTGTGCCAGCACCTCTGGCATCCTGCACTGCATGGACTGGGAGTGCAGGACAGAAAGGCCCTGAAATGCTGGAAATTTGGCCAGCACGGGTAGCCAGGTGGTCTCTGCCTGCTGCAGACATGTGACAGCCCCTCCCAGCCCAATCCTATGGGTATCCATGAGTAAAAGGGCTGTGGATGTTCACAGGACCTGTTTGTGGGTAAGCAGAGGTTGCACAGTCCGGGGAGTTCCCTGTTGACCCGTATGTGCTGTGTGTACACCACAGTGCCCCAAAAGCCTGTGGCAGTGGTATCACCCCAGGGCTGCTCTGGGGGTGGGTGTTGAGTAGAGGTGGTGCCCTCTACGGGGAGGGCTGTGCCCCACTGGGTTTCTCAGCCCTCAGGTCACCCTGCACCCACCCCAGGGGCACCTGGCAGGCAGCTGGAGCCCAGGGACCTGCTGAGCTGTGCTTGTCAGCTGCCTGACTTGGCCCCCATGCCCATGGGTGCTTGTCTCCCAGCAGAGTACCCACAGGGCCCGGTCCCCACCCTGTGGAATGAGCCGCCCGAGCTGCCCTCTGGAGCCGGTCCCTTCGATGCTGCCACCACCACCGCCCGGCTGTCGGACACCACCGCCTTCCCCCTGTACACCTCGGAGCTGGAGCCCGAGGACACCACCCACCTGCACCGCCTGGACACTGGGGACGGTACGGGGCTGCACTGCAGGCCACCCATGGCTCACCCCCACGGGGCCTGGGGTGTCACTGTGGATTGGCTCTCTGCAGGCCTGTCACCTCCCAGAAGGTGCTGAAGCCACCAGAGGTGGCCTGTCCCCAGACACACTGGTAGGGAGGGGGAGGGTTGCCTGTATCTCCTGCTCAGGGGAACTTTCCTGCTGAAAAGCCTCCTCTGTGGAGCACTGGCCACCCCCAGAGCTGTTCCAAGACCTTTCCTCTTAGCCCAGGTCTGACCTGTCATGGCAGGCACCTGCAGAAAGTGCTCTGAGCACAGGCAGGGCTTTCCAGAGCAGAATGTGCCTGGAGCTCCCTAAGCAGGGAGTGAGCACCTTTCCCAGCTCCTGACTGACAGCAAAAGCCTGTGGGGATGCAGTTTTGCCACAGACAAAGGAGCTCTCAGTATGGGTGTTGACAGGATAGCTCAGTGCCACAGACCTGTTTTGTGGCAGCTGTCCCTGGGACTTGGCTGGCTGCAGCCCCTGCCCAAAGGTGCGATGCTGCTGGGGCACAGGACCACACCTCTGCTGCCTGGGGACATGGGACATCCACCCTGGCCAGTGCATGAGCTCCGGGGCAGGAGTGGGACCCGATGGCTGGGGACATGCTGGGTGTGGGGTGATCCCTGCAGCCCTTCCCACCTGCGGCCCCCTGGCTCTGCTGACCTCACACCTCACTTTCTGTCCCTGCAGGCTCGCTGGGGCCCGGAGCTATCGGTGCCATTGTCATCGCCTCCCTCCTGGGGACGTCTGTGCTTGTGGCGTTGGTCATCATCACTCTGAGGAAGTTCTCAGCCTCCTGAACTCAATAAAAGATTTTTCTGTTACACAACCAGCCCGTCTCCTGCTCCCTCTGTGCCTGGAACCCTGGAGAAATGCTGCCACAGGTACAGCAAAGAGCACTCCAGGCCCTCTGTGGAGCAGCCAGGTTGCTCCTGAGTGTTCTTTGCTCTTAGAGTGCATATCTCCTGGGTGCACCCAGACCTGGCAGGCTTCACCCCCCTGGTCACAAAGAACTTGTGCCAGTGTGTGGCTTTGAGCTTGGAGCTTAAGGGGGCCCTGCTGGGTCTAGCCTGGGTGATGGTAACAGTGTGGGGCATCCCTCTGCACGGCTTTCCTGGGAAGGGTTGTTCACTGGCATAAACCACCCCACGTTCATGTGTTCAACCCCACTTCCACCCACTACATTTGGGCCAGTTGCTCCCCACCTACTGCACTGGAGGAGGTGAGTGATCAGTGAGGGGGAGGAAGGACACACACACGAGCTGTTTTGGCGCTGGCTTGCTCAGCTACATTTCATCACACAGAAAAACGAGACAACAAGAAGTTCCCCTCAGTTCGCTGAGGCAGCCTGGCAGGGGCCAGGGGGCTCCAGCCCCTGCTTGTGGGCTGCAGGCCTGGCCCTGGACAACACTGGAGACCACTGAAATGGGGGCGTGCAGGGCTGGGGCTGAGGAGGTAACACTGGATGCCACTTGGTGCCTGAAAATGGCACAGCCTGTGCCCGGGGTCTGGAGTCCTACACAGTCACAGCAGAGCAGGAGGGGTGGAGCGGTCCCAGGGCTTGGTGGTGGGACAGGGCACAGCAGCAGCCCTGCTCCCTGGGGAAATCCAGTGAGGACCTGCCGTCCTGGCACTGGGGAACTAATGAAACAGCTGCTTCTCATTGATGGCTAATCAAGCCTTTGTGTCCTGTGAGAAACACCCCAGGCAGGCATGTTGGGCTGCAGTGCCTAGGCTGGACTGGCTGCTGGGCTGCAAAACTGGAGGATCTGCGTTGTGGTGACTTCTCAGGTAATTTTAACAGCTTCCTCGAGCTGGAACTCCCTGGGGGTTTGCACTTGTAAATTTGTGGCTGCTGCAAGGTCTGGACCCTGAGCCGGAGGTTTAGTTGTCTCAGAAAGCTGACTGTGGGGTGCCAGAAAGATGGCTTGGGGTGTCCCCATTAAATCAGCCCCCTGCACCAGGTCCTTCCTGGCCCCTGCTCTGGGCTGGGCACTGGATGGTGACCTGGAGCCTCTCGCTGGTACGAGCTGCCCAGGGGCCCTTTGCCAGGGGTGCCACAGGTGGCTGTGGCAGCACCACCCTGCTGGCTAACAAATGCTAATGTGGTGACACTGAGCTGGACCTGAGCAGTCAATGCCTTCTCTCTCTCTTCACTGTTGTGGCTCCCACCACTTTGGTCCTGGGGGCTGGCTCTGAGCTGGCTGTACCAGGGCTGTGGTGACAGTAGAGCAAGCCCCAAGGACAGCCCTGGCCCCCCCCTCAGCTGTGTCTGGCCTCATGCTGCACACCCCCATGTCTAATCTGGGCTCCACAGGGTTCAAAGACCAGCTCAGGATCCCCCCTTCAGCAGCTTCCCAGCATCCTGTTTCCTCCTCACGCTGCTGCTGGCACGGTGGTGCCTCTCCCCTCCGTGCAGGTGGCTGGTGTGTGGCTCCATGGGCAGGCAGCTGCTCTCCATCCCCTCCCTGAGCACGACCGTGGCACTGCCGGAGCATCCACCAGCACAGGCCCAAGTGCCTGGAAGACAGTCCTTTGCAGAGTTCCAGAACGATCCCAAATACTTGATTTTCCCGGTGGATGCTGGCCCAGCTCGGGACCAGCCTGCAGCTCTGAGGCTCTCGACTGCAGCCGTGTGTGGGACTGGTGCTGTGGCTCTGTCCTGTGCCCTGGCTGCTCTCAGTGCTGCGTCCTGGGCTTCATGCGACGCTCAGTGCCACAGCTGGCAGGAGGGGTGGCTGTGCTGGGGCAGGGTTTGGGTGTGTACACAGAGGGGGGTCTGTACAGCGGGGCTGGGGGTTACAAGCATGCAGGCAGCGATGGCTGGGCCTCACACAGCCCGTGGGACAGCAGCTCCTGGGTCAGGGCGCTCCCTGCTGTGGGGCAGCCCGGCTGTGCTCCCGTGGGTTGTGGTGCTGTGCAGGGAGGCGCTGGCATGGCCACCCTGCGCCGGCCTTGCAGGGAGCAGCAAAGACCACGAGTGCCAGGTCAGCTGGGAAAGGCCACGGTGGCTGGGCCTGTGGCCCCTGCAGAGGGAGGGCAGGGCAGGGCCCAGCTGTGCTTCCCGGCCACCGGGCAGGTACACAGGTAGGTTGGGGCTGGCGAGGCTGGGCTGCTGGTGGAGCAGGGCTGGGTGTGGAAGCAGATTGAGGGTCTGCCTGTGGGAATAGATCCAGCAGCTTCTCAGCAGGACTGGAGAAGTGGAGGTCCCGGAGCTCATCCCAGCTTGTTGCCAATGGGCTCTGAGAGGCAGTGAGACAGCTCCTTGGCTGCAGTTCCTACCCCTGAGGCTGTGTCCAGAGCTCCCCAGACTCAGAAGGGAGCAATGAGCTGTGAGTGCTCAGTGATGTTGGTGGCCACGTGCCTTTCCCAAATGGCCTGAGCCAGCCTCAGCCAGCACATGTGCAACAAATGGGGCTTAGCTGGCTGCCACCTGGTGGCCTTCGGGCTCATGCTCTTTGGGACTTTACAGAACACCTGGAAAAGGGTTATTTTACAGTTTAGAGCACTGATCTCTAGGAAAGGATCAGTGCTGGGGGGGGCCAGGAACCACAGTCAGGTTGTTCACGGGTGTGTGTGCCTTGTCCGGTGCAGCAGGTCCTCCACCATGTCCCACAGCTGCCACCTCTTCCCAGCTGGCAGCCTCTGTCTCCTGCCCCTCTCCCGGAGGCACTCCAGATGCTCAGGAATGCTGCCGGTCACTGGCGGTTTCTGCTGCCCAGTTTCCTTCTCTGACTGTCATCTGACTTGTGCACCCGGAAACACTCCTTCAGGTTCTGGGCTCGGATTTTGGGGTTCAGGATCTCTTCCCCCATAGAACTGGGGAACCAGCCCCTCTCCTGGTCATGAAGACGCTCCCCAAATATCCAGCCTGAGCAGAGACAGAGACAGGCATAAGCGTGGAAGGCCCTTGCTCCTGCACTGGGACAGTTGTGTCAGAAAGAGCCCATGCAGGTGACAGAGCTCTCTGGAAGTTACTCAGAGGTCTGTGCTGGAGCAGACCCAGTCTGGCCATCCAGCAGGGAGTGCCTGAGCAGCACTGTGTGTGGACAACTGGCTCGAGGGGTGCCAGCAGAAAGCAGGCACTGCTGCCTCTGAGTGCCCTCTGCTGCCCCTGAAGCCACAGAAACGGTTCCCAGCAGAGACCCAACATGACAGACCACCAGCTACAAGGGTGTTCCAGACAGCAGGACTGGGTGGCTACAAAGCATCCTGAAGGTAAGAACAGCTCTGGGATACATCTGGGGTAGCTGTGCCAGCCCTACCATGGCCCACAGCTGGTGTCAGGGTGGTTGTGCCAGTACTGCCACAGCTTAGGGCAAGTCTGGATTGTCTGAGTGTTAGGAGAGGGCAGTAACTCCCTTCTCCTGCTGTGACCTCCCTCAGCTGTGATGCCAGTGCCAGGGTCTCTCCCCAGCTGAAGGGAGACTCACAGCTGCCTGCCCCAAGCAAAGCCCACCCCTGCACAGGGACTCCCAGCCTGTCCCCACCCTGTCCCCCATACCATCGTCTGTCTTGTCCAGGATGTTGAGGACATCAGCCAGTTCCAGGGACAGCTCATCGGGCTGCTGGGCCACGTACGGGTGGACACACTGGATCTGTGGGCAGTCTGCCAGGGAACAGGGCACAGTGAGGGATGACTGGGGTGGAGCCCCCGGCAGGACAGCACGGCTTGCGGGGTGGAGCACTGCCAGCTCTGTGCATGGTCCTCTGACCTGGGAAGGAACCCTGGGGAGGCCAGAGGGTGCCCCAGCCACAGAGACCAGTGCAGCAGCTCTGTGGGAAGGGAGCTGGGTGCACATCACCACCACAGTGCCAGCCACGAGCAGCCTGGGTGGGAGGGAGAGTGCTGGTGCAGCCCAGCCTGGGTTGGAGCGGGGCAAGGTCAGGGCCAGGCCTAGAGACAAGCAGGTATTGATGGTGGAAACAAACGGGAGCCCAGAGAGAGGGTTCAGCTTTGGCAGAGGCCTCAGGTATGTGGCTGGACTGAGATCAGGCAGAATAAGACACCCTGGGTAGGGGTGAAGAGCTCCTGGCTCCCATGCTGTGTCTCTTACCAACAAGTCTGGAGGTAAATGAAACGAACTTGGTTCTCCGGTTCGGGGCCAGTGAAATCATCCAGCGTTTCATTTCACTCCTGGATAGGGTAGACAAACCAAGGCTGTGAGCATGAGACAGTTGTATGTCCTCCAGCTCTTCTGCTCAGCCAGCCCTGGGCTCTGAATTCCTCCTCCCAACCTTTTCCTGCCTGCTCCTCAGGGGTCCTGGACTCAGTGGGGATGCTGAGCCCCGCTCCTGCACACCCTGGTTGGGATGTCACACATGGCACATTACTCTGGGCCCCTCTGCACAGCCCTGGCTGTCCCCACAGGCAGCAGTGTCCCCCTCTGGGAAGCAGCACTGCTGCCTGGAGCCAGCACAGTGGGGTGGGGGCTTGGCGTTCTCTGGGATCCAACAAGCAAAGGCAGCTCTGGCTGGGCTGGTCAACAGGGGCAGTTTTTCCTGGAGATAAGCAGGACAGGAACCATTTATTCCCACAGCTGCTGTGCAGGAACATTTAAAGGGCAGAGCTGATTAATTCCCTTGCAGACAAACGCTGCAGCTCACTCAGCAGGGGATGAGACAGACCCGTGTGAAGGCATGGCCAGACCCAGCACACTGCAAAACCTTGGTCTGCAGCAGGAGGGTGAGATCTCGCAGGTGCTGGAGAAACCCTCCGAGGCTTCCCTCAGCCCCACTTGGAAATGGGGCAGTTTGTTTTCATAGGCTCCAGTTCCTGCCTGGAAGCCCAGCTGTGCTCCTGGCTTCGAGGGAGCCAGAACTTTCTACCTCCTTAGGTGGTTTTAAGGCCTGAATTTGACACACATCTAAAGCCACTGGAGTGTCTTCTGGGAGGAGAGGGGCCTGCAAGGGAGGCATAAAGGACAATTGCTGGCAGCCTGATCTGTGGGGCTGGGAATACCTTGTGCTTCAGGGCTGAAGCACAGTGCCAAGGACCAGCGGAAACACCTTCCTGGTGTGATGAAGACATGCAGGATGAGGGCCTTGTGCATGGAGGAGCTGCCAGGTAGAGACCAACCCAGCGGCTTCTGTCCACAGCTGGCCTTGCACTCAGCTCTTAGGCTCCTGCCTGCAGCACCCAGCTCCTGTCGTCCTGCAAGGAGCCCACCTGTGCTCCAGTGCTATCCCTGCAACCAGCTGTGTCCAAATAAGCTGCCAGCTCCCTGCAGTGCCCACCCAGGGCGTTAGCTGTGAGCTGCCACTGAGCAAGTCACCATTGCCATAAGGGTTCAGAGGTGCAAGAGCTGTGGAACAGATGCAGAAGACTCTGTTTGGCACCCACTTATCCCTTCTAATTCTTTAGACTTCCAATCTGTTTCTGGTACTGCCCCCATCATCCCAGCAGCCTTGGAACAGCAGCCTTCAGCAGTTGCTGAAGATCTGTTGGCAAGCCATGTTCTGGATCACATACTTGCCGTGGCCACCTAGAAGATGGAACAGGATGCAGAGCACAGACCTGCCACTGCCTCCCCTGGCCTAGTTTATCAGTCTCTGCACAGCCAAACCTCACAGACGTCAGATGTGCGCTTGCCCTGCATAATGTGAATGACACCTCTATTTTCAGTGCAGCAGAGCTACAGCCACGTGTCTGGGGAGAAGGGACAGCTGCTCTCTGTGCTGGGGGCTCATCCTCCCGACACTGGTGCCGGGCTGCGCTCAGGGGTCAGGGTGCAGCCCTGGGGCTGGTGCTCAGTTGGGAACATGGGTGATGAACATCAGCCTACTGACAGCAGGGAACATCCAGTTGGGGCTGTGCATCATCTCTAGGAGCTGTTTAGCTGGTGGCACAGATGCTGTGCCTAGAAAACATGGGCCTGGTAACATTCAGGTCAGAGAGAAAGCCATGCCCTGTGCTCCAAACCAATCGGCTCTGTGCTAGTGTAGCTGAATCATTTGCCCAGTCTGAGCTTGTTGGAGCCTGAAGTGAAAAATCAGTGAGCCAAAAACCCTGTATCCAGGGAGACAAGGAGGCCCCCAGCAGCAGAAGGGCTGCACAAGATTGGCACTGGCTGTGGAGACACGGAAGAAGCAGCCAGCAGAGCTGTTGGAGTGTGCCAGTGCACATCCTTCTTGGTTTTACTTTCTGAATATGCTGCAGGCTGTAAAGCAGCTGGGCCCCTGTGCCTGGGCTGAATTCTGACCTCTCTGTCCCAGAACAGAAAGTGCCTGTCTGTCCTCCACCCCAGATACCACAAATACACCACACAGGAGAGAAACCTGCCTCATTCACCAGTGCTTTTCAGCAGGAGGGGGCAAAGGCAGCCTTGGGAGAGTGATGCTGGGCAGACAGGGTAGTAGGACCAGCCCAGCTGCAGCAGTGAGATCCCTCCCTGCCTGCCCCTGGAAAGCCCAGAGAGCTGGTCCCCGTGCAGGCGGGGTGCAGGGGGAGAGCACTGCTGAGAGCTGGCAGGGTGCCCGGTACTCACTGGGACGATGCCTTCAGCATGTAGCTGGCCTCACGGTCATCTGCATTCTCCAGCAGCCTCAAGATGAAGACGTTGGCCAAACTCTGCCCCTGATCTTCCAACTCCTCTACCCGAAGAAGCCCTCGGGGAGCAGAGTCAAACACCTGGTACTTGTCCCTGGGAAAGGTTAGAGAGGAGATTAGGAAAAAATGCAGTTGTCCCAGGAGACTTTGGCTTCAGCCACCCAGAACTGTACTGAGGACACAGACCAGGAACCTCTGCATGGCAGGAGGAAAAAGAGATGTCCTGCTGTGGGAAGGGATGAGCGGGTGGCTATGAAAACCCACCGCAAAGCAAGAAACCCTCTCCTTGCTCTGCCCTAGGCATCCTGCATGGCCTGGAACAAGTTGCTTGCTCTGAGCTCCCCATGCACAAAACACAGATGGTACTCCCTCCAAGGGGACTGTGAGGCTTAATTCATTCCTATTCATGAAATGCCCTCTGTGTTTTCTGGATACCAGTTGCCACAGAAGCAAAACATTTCTCCGCACACAGACACTGCGGCGACACGTTCGTTAGGAACGTTGGACGGGCGAGATGCTCCCCACCAGTGGGTCTGGTTCAGCCCACAAAGAGTGTGCTGTTCTCTGCTGCTGTGTTTGACCAGTGTCTGCTTGCACAGGACTCAGTCCTCAGCACGAGAACATCCTCCTCCTCCTCCTTCTGAGGCAGGTTACACCCTGTCAAATATAACTGCTGGCCTCAGGCCGAAATTTATACCCTCCCTGCTACTCAAACATTCTAGTCTGCTTTCTTAAAGGCTTAACTGACCAAATCTGAGCTGTTCTTCAGGCAGTGATGAGTCAAAAATCACTTCTTGACAGGAAGGCAGGCCTCCTGGGTCAGCCCACCAGTCAATGCAACTCATTGCCACCCTGCAGAAACTGCTGGATAGATGCTCACTTACCCTGCTGGAAGACCTGGCTAAGGATCTGTTTAACTCCTGTTTTCTATAAATTTTCAGTCAGAGAGAGCCGTGCCACCCATGAGGAGTCAGCTGTGCTCACAGGCAAGTGACTGATGGAGGGAGGTATACAGGTCAGGCCAGGATGACAGGACAGGATCACAGCTTGGATAAATCCAGGGGCAAATCAGACTAATGAAGTGTCCTGTGTACTACCCAAACTCGGGTAGTACAGACTCACCCAGGAATCTGCCGGCAAAGCACCAGCAGATCATTGAACAGGAACAGGTAGATTTCTCTGAAGAGTTTCTTGGTGCGAAGTGTTCGTGATGTCTTTGGACCGTTCATTTGCTGCAGTTCCCCCTGCTTCAGCAGCCAGCGGGAGTGGGAGATGATGGGCACGGACTGGAAGGGAGGAAAAGACGGCAAAGTTCAGGAGAGGAGCAAAACTCCTTGGGTTCGAGTGGTCAGGATGTTGAAAGTAACAAGAGGTGCAAGAGAGGGGTGGTGAGCTCCCACCAGCAAAACCTGCACTGCAGGGGCTGCAGCAGAGCTGCAAGGAGAAGGCAGTGCCCTCTGCCATCCCCAGCACAGCCCAGCAGTGTGACAGCACTCAGACAGGGGCACAGCAGGGGCCTGAGAATGGACAGATGCCTAAGGATGGCAATGCTGGATTGAAGCAACAACCTGTGCCCTGAGCTCTCTCCAGGAGAGCACATCTCACACCTGGGCTGAGCTTTTCTGGCCAGGGAGACTGAATTTCAAAAACATGTGTTTGGCCTTTTGGCTACAAAAAAACCCAGGTTAAAAGGGTTTTAACTGGTTGTGTCTGTCCTAGGCAGGAGGAGATACTGTCCACGAGCCACCACAGCACTTCTGTTAGAGTTTTAATACACACTGTGTTAAAAACAAGCCACCTAGGACAAAACACATCTTACACTAGAAAAACACTACATTTCCAATTGACTGAAATATTGAAAAATATTTGTATAATTGCTACTCCTTCTACCTTTGCTCCCTTCCAGTGTTTGCCCCATGCAGGTGGCACAGTCCTCGCACTCTTCCCCCCAGTGGCCCTGCCTGTGCCAGTGCCCAAGGCAGACCTGTTCCAGGGTGAACCAGTTCCTGCCTGTCAGTACAACCTAAGCTTTACCAGAAGTGGAGGCAGCTTTGCAGCTACCCCAATGGACTGCTGTCCTGTGGGCTGTAGTCTAGCCCTGACACACTGGTGAAGTGCTCTGGAAAAATCAAAGTTTTTTGTTTTGGTTGCTCAGGTACATAAAAAGGTTGCTGGAAAGCTAAATGTGATCCCTAAAGTTCAAGAAGCAGATAGATCTGAGAAGCATCTCCATGGCACTCATGAAAAGGATTGACAACTTTATACTCAGCACTGGACTTTCATGGTATATATTAAATGGAATCTGGTCAGACACTCCTAAATATTGATTTAGTCATTCCCTGAGTGGAGCCAAAATAGATCAGCACCAGGTAATTAGAGACTGTACATAATGCATAAATGCAGTGATGAATTAAAATGCCATGACAATCTTCATCTGGGTATTTTTCAGCTTTCAAGTGTTTCACTTTGTAGCTTTCATCTCCCTTTAACATCATTATCAGCCTGTGCTTATACCTTGATCTTGAATTCCAGCTTCTTCTGGATGCTGATCATCTGCTCTGTTCGGCTCATCTTCCGCACACCTTCATTACAGGCTTTCACCACCTGGGAAAAGAGAGCAGAAAGGTTTGCCTCCACTGGCCTGAAGTGTTGATGGACAGCATGGAAAGGCCTGACCATGATAAGGGAAGTACCCTGCTGTAACAGGAATTGTCCCAGCCAAGTTCTTTTATCGACACTGTGTTTGCATGAAAAAGAGAAGGGGAAAAAAACCTCAGAACATAAATAGCCCAAAACCCCCAAACACCCAGAAGATGTTACAGAGCACATGTTAGGTGGCTCCATTTGGTTACTGAACCAGACAGTGAAAAAAAGTGTTCCAGATCCTGACACACCATACATCTCATCTTCCCTGCTCCCAGCACTTGAAATGAGGAACGTATGCAGTGTCATCTTCAGGAAGAGAATGAAGCCAAACATCTTCATTTCAAAAGTGCAAATGCTGTGGTTCTGCCAAGCAGCATCAGATGCCAAGGCCATGAAATGTCCCAGGGAAAGAGACGTTCATCAGACAGAGCCCAGCTGTGTTCAGAGTGCAAACTTTTAACTGAAAACCCACAACCAACTGCAGGCACTACCCTGTTACAGGGACCTTAACCTAGATGCCACTGCCTGTTTCATAAGGACCAACTCTCTGGAGAACTGGCTTGGCAGAAAAATTACGCTGGAGAACAAGCTCCACCTTGTGCTCTGTTTCTGCTACTCAAAATCCACCCAAGTATCAGCAACTGAAACAGTGACCACCTCTTGCCTCTCAAACAGGATACATACAGAGAAAATAAGTGCTAGATGACCTCTGCTGTGATGCCTGGACCTAGCTGGATATGAGGTATCTAAGCTTACACACTTACAGATCAGTGTTTAACCATGCAAAGGAGCGAGCAAACTGATCACGTGAGTCACTGATAACTGAATATAATGCCAGCATTTTTCCATCAGCAGCTGTAGTCACCTGCATGCTACAGGAACAGGCCTTCTTCAGGCTACTGACCAGTGGGAAAAGAATTGGCTATCAGATGCATCCAGAGGGATTCTGCAGACACTAATATAGCACAGAACATCCTTCACTGAAAGGTCCGTCTTTGTCCCGAGTAATTTCCGAGTGTACAATTCCTAGGTTAGCTGAGGGCAAACCCAAGAGCCAGTTCTGGCCCAGTGTTGCAGCCAGAAGCTGCAAGCCCGTGCTCAGGCTAATGTTCTAGAAGAGTTTTCAACTTCAAATACAGAACTGCAGGAGTCAGGAGATGTTCCAAGCACTCTGTCCCAGCACATGGAGCTGCCAGCTATGTCCAGACCATTCAGATATGAAAATCATCCTGTCTGACCATGTCAGGAAGAGCCCAGGTAGAAAACATCCCACTGCCTTCCTGGTGTTTTGTACACAGCAGTAACTAGCACAACTGAGCACCACATCTGCCTACCAGCCTCAGGGAAGAGGGCTAAAAGCAGGCTTGGGGACTTCATTAGGAAACTGTTATTCTAGGTCAGAGGAAGAAGTGTGTTGTGTTGGAGGAAACCTGACACAGTTGTACCCTGCTGCCTGCTGCCCCTAATTACACCTCTCAGTGGGATCCATCACCTTCAGGTATCTGCAAAAACAGCTTGTGTTCTTGGAGGCCCCGAGGGAAAACATTCCCTCTGCCCTTTCCTACAGCAGAAGCACACACACCTGCTGTTAGCAAGGGATTCCTTGTCGCTGACATCTAAGTGCTGCTAGATTAGTCCATCTTTCAGACTTCAGGAAAAAAAATTACTCTTGAAATGCAGTGACAGGATTCAAACAGCTCCAGGATGAAATGCAGTCTGTAGGTCATTTTTTGAGGGGTGTATGTGCATGAAATGAGCATGATGGTTCAGTCTTAATGGTCTTCAGTTAACTTATTCAGACTTACTGTTTCCAATTCTTTATGTGCATCCAGGGCTGTAGATTCCCTGTCAGATTTCTCTTCCACTTTCTTCAAAATATTCTGCAGGGGAGGAAAGGCTGTGTTAATGCTGATCCCCACCTGAGAGCACAGAAAGGTCTTCGCTAGCCTATGAGCTACTTCTGGCCATCCACCTAATTACAGGAGAGGTGAGAGAGTACAGTGACCCTCACCTCTTGGTTTCTCTTTCTCATTACAACCTGTTCCCATATGACCTTATATCTAAGGGAAATGTAACAGGAAGACTCTTATTTTATACATAAAGTAATAAATTAATATAGCTAGAGCTGGCACTGACAGATAATGTTAGTGGCAATGCCACTGGGATAAGACCATTTGGGACTGAGCTGTTTCCCCATCCCTACAAGCATGTTCTCCAGCAGTGTTTAGACAAGCTGGCAAAGCACAGGAGGAGAATGGCTGCCAGTCTGGTCTAAGGCACCATATGAGGTAGCATCCCCATGTCCACCAGCTGTTCTGCATCTGTGTGTCACCATCCTAACCATCAGGCAGCTGGGTTAATGGACTTTTGCTACCCTTTCTAGCAGCTCAACCAAGTCCCTTCCCAACTCTCTCAGTCAGTAAAAGCTATCTGGCAAATTCAACACTAACTCGGGGGTGGTCTCTGCTGGACTGAAATCTCTTGTCCGTATTCATGGGGAATTCTAACTCTGTGGAAAGGCTTCCCCCAGCTCCAGGGTTGATCATGGCTGTATCTAAGCCCCATTCACAGCTGCTGGAAAAGACAATTACAGGAGTGATCCAGAAGACCTTTGTGACAGAGATACGAGCAGAACTCTACCTGCACCAGCAGCTTGAGCCGAGTGATTCTTTGAAATGGCAGAATCAGGAAGGAAGAAAATGACAGGCCTTTGCACTTGGGATCCAGCTCCAGCTGTGAGATCACTTCCCGGAAAGCTGGTTTGTCCTGGCTGAGAGGAGACACAGAGAAGGTGAGGACTTTGAGTGCTACTCTGCCTGGGACTCTCATACAGGGCTGGTGACCCAAAAGCAGCTTGGTCGCAAGAGATACCATCTGCCACAGGAGATAAGAGAGGAGGAGGGGACTGAATGCCTCTAGGTGTATTTTAGTTTGAATCTAAAACTATTTATAGTGTTGGGGGAGGGAAAAAATAGACTTCTAATGTACAAGCCATGGTAGCACTCACATATGTTCATCTCCAGCTCAGCAGCATACGCTGCGTGCGTAGGTGTGTGTGAATGGGGTGTGTGTCCAAGTACATGAGTCAGAGCCATAATTATATATTTTTACACAGTTGGAACTCTGTGACAAGGTGAAATTCACATAGTCATAAGAACAAGACAAGCCACAAAACAGCTCAAGCTTGGATAGTCCTTGCTGCTTAGCTGGAGGATGGCAATCATTATCTGGCCTGAGAAGGGCAGGGGCCATGCCCGAGCCTTCCCTGATGGTGTTCCCAGGAGATGAGGACAGGAGTGGGCCATGGACACAGCAGCATGGAGCAGTCTCAGAAGGCCCAGCTGCCACAGCCAATTCCTGGTAGCCTCAGGGCCTGGGAAAGGCTGGCACTGCTGGAGCCCTGGCCCGCAGAAACAGCGTGGAGCCAACGAGGCTGCTCACGGTGCAAAACCTGTCTGTACTGTGTGTTCTGACAACATCCAAGGGAAGCCACTGGCAGTGCTCCCTGCTGCAGGAGGTGCTCTGTGATGGTGTGACTCACCTGCCCAGTGGGGGGAACTGGGAACTGTGGGGGGAACACCTCAGGCTTCGAGTTCAGCCCAGTGCTGCAAAATTCTTGTGCTAGCTGGGAGCCTGGGCTTCGAAGGGAGTCTGTTCTTTTCAATGTGCTTTATGTATTCTCACAGACAAAAAACGCTGCCCTCGGAACTCACACTGAGGAATACCTCGATCTCCAACAGGTCCTTTTTAAGCTCCAGTAATCCAGCCTATTGCTGCTTCGCTTCTGAGCATTTAGTTAATGACTGTAGGCAAATGGTTTGTATTCTGCAGCTGTACCGCTCACCTCTGACTGAAGGAAACCCTGTCCTACCCTCCTTTTGGAGAGAGCAGCTGGCCAAGCTCAGCAGAGGCTCCCTAAAAGTGTTTTTTTCCCTCAAAAGCTGGAGACCAGGGAAAGGAAGGGTCTAGGCATTGTTATACTCCCCTGAACCAGCTGCTGCTGCAGGAGAAAATACACTGCAGCATTGGTAATTGGCTGTCCTGAAAGAATCCAGGACATTGTAACTAAAGAAAAATTAAATCTCCTGCTCAAAGACAAGCTTGTAGGGCACTCATTGTTTTGAGCTGGTATCAGAGAATTCCTACTGGACCAAAAGACTTGCTAAACTTGAAAAATACTACAAAAATATCTTGAATTATATCCTCAGGCCTAGGTCTGTGTGTGTAACACCAGAGAGTGAAGCAAATAGCTTTTTGCCTTTTTTTTTTTTTTTTTTTTTTTTTTTTTTTTTTTTTTTTTTTTTTTTTTTTAATCTTTTAAGAAAAGTCTGTTGTTCTGAGAAAGAGTTAATTATCAAATTTGGGAAGGTCAAGTGTCTTGCTGAAAAGCTTGGGAAAAGCAGTGGCTGTTTTTGTCATCAGAGGTTTATATTATATTCTTGGCCTTTTATTTGTTGCCTCTACTTGCAGTTTCAAAATACGTGCATTTCACAAGCACGTGGCCCTGTGTGCACCACAACTATTTCCCACAGTTGGGAACTGCTGGTTCTGAATTTACTTGCCATGTTACCTGCACACTATACAACCCCATCTTTACAATAAAGCCTTTAATTGCAGGGGTTTTATGGCTGTAGCGAGAAATCGGTGGAGTGGGAAATCCTGTTTCTGTGCCACCCATCAAAATTACAGCTACATCTGTGGCCTGTACCATTTTACAAAGTAATTTAACAACAAGGACTAGAACTCACAGAAGCTGCTTGTAAGCTCTCTCCTGGTAGGTCTGGTTGGACACGTAGGTGATGTACACGGAGAAGTGATTGACCGTGTGCTGGTAGACGATGTCGCACACGTCCGAGATCACGATGTTCTCCTCCACCCGCTGCTCTAGGTCCAACAGGAAGCTAGAGAGAAAGCCAGCACCCATATTTAATTGTGGCCTGTCTGTCCCAGGCAATTGCCAGGAGAAGGCAGCTCCTCCATCCCTGCACGGCTGAGGTCAGCTAAAGCCATTGCCCGCTCTGCCACTCAGCAGCTGCCTTACCGCTCGCTGACAGCCATCACATCCAGCACGTTGGAGAAAAGGATGTGCGCCTCAGACGGGTGTAAGATCTTCTTCAGACGCTCATTCTCCATGAAGTGAGACACCAGCAGATTGAGGCTCTTGTAATATGAGGCTTCAGAAGTAACCAGCTCAAACATGGCCTGGGGGAGAATCCCAAAGAAGGCAATCAGCAGGTACCTTCTGCTTCTACAGGGAGGCACCCCTGGCGTTACTGAGAACATCTGTGCTGCGCAGCCATGGGCCTTCACCCACCCTCCAGCCTAGAGGACAGGCAGAGGGAAGCCCACAATGTATTTGCCACGTGTTACACGGGATAGTGACTTGAATAGGGGAGGATTCCTTCCCCAACCATCTGCCCTGACCCAACGGAAATAGAGCTGTTACTGTCCAAGTGAGGCTCCCTCCCTGGTCAGCCCTGGCCACACACTTTTCTGACCCAATCGACAGAGGACCAGGACGAGACACGGTAGTCCCTAACTAATACCATAAATCATAAATTATCTCCAGATTTCAGCCTTTGCTTATCCTATTAGAAGAGAAAACTCTGGAGCAAAGCCTCAGGCTGAGGATGTGGTCTGTGGAAGCAGGAAGACAAATTGGTGGTTTGGTTCAGAGATAAAAATCAATTTAATGAGATGAAGATATATAGTCTTCTACCTACAGTACGTGCCACAGGGACAGTCCACTATTGGCACACAGAGCTCCCTTACTCTCTGGGGGAATCTTTGTTCAGAGTGAGATACAAAAGGAGAGTATTTACACAACTATGAATCTATTAGTTGAAGTGAGATTAACTGAAGATTCTCATGAGAGCTTCAACAGGGTGAAAAATTGTTAGATCCTTCAGACATCTCTTGATGAAGGTATATCTTGGGCTCCTTGTCCTGGGGCTGGCCCATGCTGCCGCTACTGAGAGAGGAATCTTTTATAGCCCTGTGAAAGTCTCATTTCCCTGACTCCAAAGCTACTTGGATGCTCCCCTCCTGCCCACGGCCCCTGTGTTGCACCCTGGGGAGTGGGAGCTGGCCAGGCAGGGCAGTGGTGGGGCCCTGAGCTCTCCCAGCAGCTGCAGGGCCCAGCTACAGCCAAGGACATCCAGGGGAGCTACAGGTACGTGCAGGATTTTTTGTGCTGCGTGTATATTAAGATATCTTCTGAATTAGCTGGGGGTCTGTGTTGTGGTTTGCTTGTCGCTTGTTTGTTTTTGCTTTTTAAAGAAATTATTTTAAATTCTCCGCTGATCAGTTTTCAGATTTTTCCTGGAAATATCACAGAAGAACCCAAGGGAGAGACCTGGGCTGTGTCCCTGACACTGCTGCACTCTAAGATCTGGAGGACAGGCACAGCAAGGAGGGACTGTTACTCAATCCAGAGCAGCTAAAACATCAGTTTAAGTGATGTTTCAGCTCTTTGCAGAGTTGGTAGCCTAGGAAGTATTCCCAGTGGGCAGTTAATTCAAACAGGTGGTCCTTTCCTGCACCAGAGAGGGAGGCTCAGCCCCCAGAAGGGAGATGGCTAGAGCTGAACGTGCTCAGTCAGCGACCGTGGAACAGAGAGTGTTTAAGGAATAAGAAGGTGCTGGATTTTTTTCCAAGGCCAGTTTCCTCATGAGAAAAGTGGAGGAGTATCAGCTCAGCTCCTCCAACAGCTTTACCCAGGCACCTGGTGAACCTGGGAGAGAACCTCCCTCTTTCTGCATGACTGGCTCAGTCCTAAATGCAACTTTTACAGCTTTAACTGTACCTTTTTATTTGACAAATGAGAGCAGAAGTGGAAATATGCAAAGACACAACAAAGAATAAGACAGGACATGTTGGGACAGCCAACTCTCCCTTCCAGATATCCTGGAGATTGACACCTCCTATCATTTTTTCTGCCAAATTTGATTGCAGGATGGTTGTGAGAGCCAAGATCAAGACCTGCCACTCTACCAGAGCCCTTAAACCTTCAGCCAATTTGCTTCCTCTAGGAGGATGCTTCCTGGTCTGCAGAAGCCCCTCTGCCTATGTTTGGAGAAATCAGTTTGTGTGTGTTTCCTCTTCACCATAGTGGAAGGTGCTAGACCTGCATGGGCAGGTGCAGAGTGCAGGCCATCCTAAAGAAATAATGAAATCCATAGGGAAAATATCCAGGCACAGGGTTCTGACTTAAAGGAGATGCTGAAAGTAAAGAACATCTTCACTGGTTGGGACAAGTTTCTGGTACTGTTCATAGCATGTGCAAGGGGCTGATTCCTACTTTACTCTGGAGATCCAGCTGGTCCTCTGCAGACCCAAAGTACCTGCTCCTGGCAGCCCAGCTAGCTGTTTCCACTTTGGATGGGAAGAACAAGCTGCAAACCTCCTAAACTGGCACCAAACATCCACCTGTGATGCAATGATGTGATCCCTGTGGAGTAACCGAGCTCTGCTGGCTCTAAGCAGTCACTAGAAAAAAAGAGCATCAACTTCTGGTCTCAGAAGTGCAAAAATACTAGGAAAAAATCTGAACTAAATGTCACTTGACATATTGCTGTCTTCTTGAGTCTTAAAGTCTCTCTTGGAAACATGACCAACGCTGTTCCATCAGTCCTCTGGGTCATTACCTTCGTGAAATCTCAGAAGCACACAAAAGCTGTGACAATCATTTTCATTGCTTATGTTTTGGCAGGGAGGCTGAGAAAGGAAAAGAGATGTGAAGCCTAAGGAAGAAGGAAATGCAGAAGATCAAAAAGGAAAGGAAATAAGAGCCATCAAGGACAAGATGAATCCTACAGGCTCAGTTCCCACTGAGGTAATATGGTGCTTTAGTGCAGAGATTGGAAATACCTGTTCCTGATGGCCCCGCTCTTCATGTAACCCTCCAGGTAAGAAGGGGGAGTCCAGGTCTAGTCCAGGAGGGACACTGCTCTGACCCCTTGCCTTGGCATTGGCTTTGAGCAACTCTCACACCTCGCTGCCTTCACAGGGTCAGTGCAGTAAGTTCAGCACAAGTGTTCTCTTCCACACAGGCCATGCCACCAGTGCACACAACTTTTGCTCAAGCAAAGAATATTTCCAGAGCAGCAGCTTTGTCACTTAAATTCACACCATGGGTGCAGACTAGTCTGTCTCAGCCCCTTCTTCTAACACCAAAGTGACCTGAATCCAAATAATACCTGACAAAAATATTTATCAAAGCTCATACATCTCAGCAAAAATGGTTCAGTTCAAAGACTAAGAATGTTTTGGGTGAGTTCCACTCAGCTCCAAATCTCCTTAAACACAGAAGATAAACAGGGTGTAGGAAAATCATAGAACTGTTTAAGTTGGAAAAGGCCTCTAAGATGGAGTCCAACCATAACATAATACAGTTAACAAGCAGAAAAGGTCAAAATGAAGAAACTATTCAGTAAATAAAACAAGGACAGACCAAAAAGGAGAGAACTGAAGTAGGAAAGAGGAATAAACCACAGAACTGCTCCAAAAAAAGGCCATACCAGTATTTTCTTTAGGCTTGTGCTGAAAGAATTTTCACTGATTCAATGCCATTTCTCTGGATCACTATCTCTTCAGAGCCTAGTGCCTTGGGGACAGAGTTTGTTGTAATGGAAATCCCACGTAACACAGGGAGTGTGTTCTCTCCAGGCCTTTCTTCCTCCTGCTACACACATGTGCCTGTCATCCCTTCCACTCTGACTCCGTGTCAGAACCCAGAGCATTTCCTTTGGCTTGTTCTTCTTGTGGAAGAAAGCCCTTGGTGATTCATGCTGGGCTGTGTTTGCTCAACACACATCTGGGTAATTAAAACTACCCTATCAATGACTTAGTCGCTTCTGATAATTATTCCAGTAGCACATAATTTTTGTATTTCCTTGACCTTTGTGGTATGAACCAGGGATTTTTCGGTATTTGCAGCCACATTTTTCTGGGGTACTTCCAGTTGTTGTTTCGTACCTTTCTATGGAAGATATCTTTCTATATTTATTTCTGAACTTGCTGAAATGTGGATGTGGATTTGGGGGCGGTTGGGTTTGGCATTTTTTGGTTGGTTTGGTTTTTTTTCTTCCTGAAACTCCCATTTTCTGGCCCATTTGTTCCAATGGAGACAATAACAAATTGCCTTCCATGACGCTTTTCAAGTATTCATTGGTCTTCCAGTCAAGTTTCTTCCAGTCAAGTTTCTTGTTTTGATGCTTGAAAAAACACCTGTGTCTTTTTGTACCTTGCATTCCTGTGGTCTAAATAATACTTTGTTCTATCTCCCCTGACTGAAGCTCTTTAGGCCCTGTGTTTACCATAGCTTTGAAGATAAAATAGGTCAGATAGGTACGATTTTTGATGTCAACTCCATAATTTCTGCTGTCCTGTACTTCAGGAAAACGTCTCCAATTCTCCTTCACAAAGCTGAACATTCTACATTCACTAAATCAAACCCTCATGTACAGCTCACACTCCCAGCTCACATCCAGCTTGAGCAGGGTTCCAGCACTGCAGGAGCAAAGCTGGATCCAACATCATCTCCTCAACTGCCTCTGTGGTTCCTCCAGCCCTCTTTGTTTTCTGTCCTTGACTCTCCTCACAGAGCAAATTCTCCACTTTGTCCAGTCAATGTTCAGCCAATTTCACAGCTTTCTGGCTTTGAGCAATATTATAATCTCTTACTGTGCTAATCCCAGAACAAACAGGAAGAAAATTTCAGCTGTGATAAACTAACACTGGAGAAAGCACAGAACTTCTTTAAGGCAGCACTGTCCCATTCTCCATCTGCTTTATTTCTCTTTTTATTTAAGCAGAGAGGAGAAAATTGAGCACACTTGATGTGGGGATTTAGCAGCGCAGAGATTTTTTTCCTTAAAACACCTACAGGTAATGAATGTAACTTAACAGAAATGGCAGGCTTTGAAGTCTATAATGCACACGTTCAAGCAAATATTTCTCTGTAAAAAACTCTTCGTTTTGAAGCAAAATAAAAGGAAAAGCTTGTAATTTTTCAGATGCCAGATTGTGTTTGTAATGCTGGCACTTGAAAGTACCATGTTTTGCCAGGTAAACAGAACAAATCTGATATGGAAATAACCAGTGCAGAAGAGGAACATGGAAAAACAACAAATCATTGCAGTCACCTTCAGCCCTAACCCTGACTCACCACCAGCCTGTGCTTGCCAGCCCCAGGTACTGTGTATAAACACGGGTCCATTGCACTAAGGGTGTGAGTGGCACAGCCCTGCCCTTCACACCCCCGGGGCACGGGGTGAGCCTTCGCAGGGCCACGGCCAGCACCGACACTGTGTGCACAAGCAGTTCATGAGTGCTGATTGTGCAGATCCAGGTAAACTTAGGGGGAACTGCTCACACCCTGGGATGTTCTTCAGTACCTTGGGTACAATGTCACAAGCCAGAGATGAACAGACACACTGCCACAACCCTCTCAGCAGAAGCAATGCTGGTGCAGGAGTATGGTGGGACTCAAAGGAGGGAGTCTCTGAAGGCCCATTGCTCGTATTACAATGCACATCACACACTAAACAAGGCTTGTCATCTGCTATGAATGCAGTGCTATGCATTGACAGAGAGCACTCAGGCTCCCCACACTCCCCAAAATAGCAACCAGTTGTAAATTGCTGTGCGATTGATGTTTTCATTACTTGTGGCAGCTACCCCCACCCACTCCTTTCACTGTCTGACGCAGCCCTGTAAGTCAACAGCATGTGATTCTAAGGCAGTGATGTCACTGCACTGTATGGATAAAACACAAATATACCTGTCGTTATTTTTTCCTGTTTTGTAATAGGCTCCAAGTAACAACAAAGAAATATGATGAAGTTTATCAATCTCCATCTCTTCTCTTTCTATTAATGCCATCATATTCAAAACCTTACAGTTGAATTCTTCTAAGATTCCTGGTGGAAAGTATGTGTCCTGCTAGCAACTTCAGAAGAGGATTAACGTGCACTGGAACCAAAAGCTCTACTGTAAAAACCTCCTCATTATCCCTCTTCTTTTGTAAATTGCTCCTAAAGCTGAATCAGAAAAGGGAAAAGTTCTTTTTGCTACAGAAATGTCCAGCAGCAACAGAACATACAGAATATAGAACAACACCTATAGTTTCAAAAAAAGAGCGAGTGGTGCTAACCAGTGCAACACAGAAAACAGTCAGCAGAGTAAGGCTTGTCTGTGACTGCTGTGAAGCTTTTAGTTTTTAAATCTTGATAATCTGCCCTAATTCACTCTCACTTTTTAAAGCAGCAATGCAGTTAAGAAGCACTCCGCCTTCCCTCATTACCTCCTGCAGCTTGATCTCATCTGGCTGGAGGATGCTGAGGACACCGCTGTTCCGGATCTCGGGAAGATCCTGCCATAAGTTGAACCTGGAGTTGGAATTCCTCAGCAAACTGATTTGTGGTGGAGCTTTGTTTTCGGTTGTACTTGTAGGCTCTGCTTCAGATGGGGTTTCCTCACTGGGTGAAGTCTCCTCAGGGTTTGCCTGTGAATCCTGCAGTCGCCTGGTTTCAATCTCCTCGCGTGTAGATTTATCTCGATATTCCTGGTACAAGAGCCCTAGGAGGGAATATAACAGGTGTGAGGGGTGACAGCTGAACAAGAGAGTAGAGAAGTATTGTGGGAAAGGACAGTTGCTTTGTGCTGAGTCACCTCAGCAGAGAGACCCCTTCCGTGCGAACGGGAAGCCAATTATGGCATTCCTGTTTCAGCCAGAAGTGGAAACTATAAATGGAAGGCCATTCCTAAATCTACAGTGTTGTCAACAATCTGCTTTATAAAACATTTAGTAACAGTCAGAGGAACCCCTGATCAATCAGAAGACCTAAAAGAAGCGGTTCATCATTCGCCAGGCTTTTAAATGGCTTTTAAACCTTGATTTTCTCTTATATTACTACGTTACAAGTTATATAGGTTGATATGTATGTTTAAATGTGTGTCTAGGAAAGTAATACTGCCTACATTGAAACTATTTTAAGGGAGCAATTTGATGGCACTGAAAATCCTTAATGAGGAAACACTGAGCTGCTGTTCAGGCAGGTGAAGCTTTAGGACAAGAAGCTACAGTTACTAGTTTGTTTTGGTATTGACTTTGTGGTTAGCCTTGGACGTTGCTTAATATCTCTCTGTTTTCCTTTTCAGTTTCTATGATGATTGAAGATACAAAATTAACATTCAAAAGGTACCTGAATGTTACATCACTAAGAACTAGGCTCTGAATTGACACCAGCTGGCAGCACATCAATCACACGAGGGGGCTTCTGAGTTTCAATTACTAACTTCAGGAGTAGATGAAATGGCAATTGAAATTTGCCCCCATGCCTGATTTCAACTGACAGCGTGAAGAAGGTAGGAATCCTGAAATTCTTTGGCCATCTTTAGAACAACCTTTGCCTCTCTGAGGGCTTTTGATCTGTCCCATTTCTATTTCTGAACCACCTGTAGGACCCAGAATTTTAATTGCTTGAGAAGATATGTAGGGACAAGAAAACATGAAAATGCTCTGAGTCACTCCCCTCCCTTACCAAAACTGAAGAAGCACAATAACATTATCTCCCTTAGTTCATGCTTGAATTGTAAAGTGTAACATGAATGAATAAAAAGAAAAACCTTTGCTGTTAAAAAGAGCACCCTACATAATTTATTTTGTCTGAATCTCTAGGGGTTAAAATTTATCTGGTCACAAGCACTCACAATATTTGATCTCAGAAGCAAATTTTGTGTGTAATAAGGTGAGAGACAACGGGGTCAGGAGTTTGTCTAGGGAGGGCAGAAATGTAGATGCTGCTGCCTATTAAAACTCTGGCCCCATTTCCAGGAGGCTCTGTACCAGTCACTGCTGGAGCTGTATGGGAAATATGCTGGGGAGAAGCACAGACACAAGGACAACGTTGCTGCAGTCTGCGAGTGTATCCTGTTATCTGTTCTTCCTGGAAAGATGTTCAACACTGGATTAAAATAGCAATAAGGGGAGCTGTGCCTAGGAAACCATACAGTCTTCTGGTAGCTTCCTACACAATGCTGAGCAGAGGAGACTTCCCCTGAAGTTTCGCACGCTGCTGCTACTTATGTAATTTCTCTCTGCGTCAACGAGGTTTATATGGCTTTCCTAAGCATCAGTGCCTGATCTTCAGCATCAGGGAGGGTGCTGAGGAGGTAGAAGGGTGGAAAGGCTCCTTCAGGAAAGAGCGGAGAGCCTGTTAAAAGGGAGCTGCTTTCAGTGGTACTGATCTACAGGCTCAGCCTGTGCTCAGGGCTCTGGGGCAGCACAGCACTGGGCCCTCCTGCCCCACAGAGAGCAGGACAGGCTGGGCAGTAACACCCTGCAGGAACGTGGGCAGTGCTCCGCTCGAGGGAAAATATGCTGGGAAACTGAAGTGAAATACTCATATTGGAGATACTTATATTGCAGTGTTGACTGTACAGCTGTGTTGTGCTGGTGGGTCTGCCTTGCAAGTCAGAGGATATTTTGTGTAAGGGGGATTTAAGGCCCCTTGTGAGATCTGGAGAGCAGCTCTTTAGAAAAGGTCCTCAAGACTATTTTCCCCTTGCTTTTAGGGAAATAAAATGCAGATAATGAAGCTTGATTTTGTTTCCAGGTTCCCTGACTGCCCAAGAGATAAGACCTATGGAGCCATCAGTGGCAGGCAAAGGCAAGTATAGACATGGAGAGATCAGACTGGCGGAACTCACCCAGAAATGACAGCAAGGTAGGTCATTTTAAGGAGGGAAATAAAGAGAGACTGGCTGAAGCTCTAACACAGACAGGAATATGGAGAGAAAGCAGAAAGGTGGTACCAGAAGAAAGACAAAAGGCAGGTAGGTAGAAGTTTCAGGCAGAAGCGTAGGAAGAAACACAGAAGGCTGTGCTAGCAAGGATAAGAGACATTCCCACTTTCTTGGTCTGAAAGGTCTATCCATATGTCAGTAAAGAGGTTACAATGGGCAGAGAAGTGACTTAGACGAGAGAAAACAAGAGAAGCTACGCCAAAGCCTCATCCAGACAGAGCAGGAGATGGCCACAGCAGAGGACAGGTAACAGATGCACAGATGCAAGGTCAGGGAACAGGGTCTTGACATGTTGAAAGGAGAACAATACATCTGGGAACTGACTGAATGTGTAGAAAGACGCTGTTGAATGTGACTCAGAGGATATAATGATTTAGTAAATGCTTAGATTTAGTAAGTGAACAAGTACAAAATGTCAGAGACCTGTACTAGCTCCCTTCATTCCTTATTGTCCCAACTGTCCTTACCGTGACCTGGCTAAAGGTTAACCCCTGTGGTCAGACCATGAGTTTGGTGGTAATTATTGACTTTAGTGTTTAAGGCTGATCTTCCTAAGGCATGTTTACATAGTTTTTATACTACATAACAGACCTTTCCCTTAGATGTTTATTCCATCTAATTTTGCTGTCACAGTCTCCCTTCCCAGCTCTCTCAAAACCTGGGAGGGTAATTGAAAAACTAGTTACTAATTGTGGAAATCCTTGCCTTAGAGAGTTAGCAGCGCTCTTAAAGTAAACGTTATTACATTGAAAGCTATGTAAAATCTCAGGAGGCCCAGAGATGTTTTCTCTGAAATTCTCTGCTCCAGTTTCAGGCAAAAAGTCCACTAATGCCTTAAAGGCAGGAGGGAGGGAAGGGAGTGGGTGTGCTCCAGCCATTTGATGTAATACCTCTGCTGGGGACAAGCGTTGCATCCCTGGTTGTCAAAACGCTGCCTCCTCCATCAGGGTCAAAACATACCTTCTTGTAGCTACACTGATGCGTGCAGAGCTTTTGCACACCTTCCCTCTGATACACAGCACACAGAAATATATATGAATATAGCAACTGGGTTGCTGTGAAATCCTGCTGGCTTTAGTATTTTTATCTCACCTCTTAGCTGCACAGTCCCAGTAAACTGACAGCATTCTGACACATCTCCCTTGGGAGATTAGTACCTACACAGCCAAAAGCAGGTAACAGATCTGGTAACACTCAAGCAAATTGTTCACCACTTTCCTCCAGAAGGTCCCAGACTCAGCTGGTTTTTCTGACAGACGCTGGCAAGCTGCTGGGTTCACACCAGCCTCCTTCCCCAGCACTGTCCCAGTGGCATCAGGAACAGCAAGAACCAGCCTTGCCTGCCACAACCTGACAGCAAACAGCAAAGACACCAAATAGTGTGAGAAGCCTCCTCGTTCGTGCCAGGGAGGTTTGCTTTGCTGCTCCTGAGAGTTATCTCCCCAGTTTTCCCATGCTAAGTGCTGCATTCCTGCCCTCTAGATTAAAGTGTGTTTGTTTCATTTCCTGGAACTGAACAGAATTGTTTAAAAACAAAGCTTCTCTATTCCCACCACAAAACCTGCCCCAGGATGGGGTTTTACTTTGCCATTGCCCAAATCCCTCCGAGGAAAGTCACAATTCTGATGTGGGAAATAAAAGAAACAAGCTGTGAAGGTCCTCTCTGCATGCCACAAAATTTAATAATAATTAAAACAAACAAACAAAAAACCAAACAAAAACAAAACCAAAAACAAACGAGAAACAAACCACAAGAGCAAAAGTGTGAGTCCTCTCCTCCACAACCACCCAGATAACCTCAACTCTATCTTTTCAGAGACCACAAATGATAAAATCACTTACTCCTCTCTTCCAAGTGCTATGCCAGTGGCTGTTACATCGAATAGATGCGAACCCCATGTATACAACTAATGTCCGAAAGGACGAGGGACACAATACTTTAGTCTTATGTCTTTTGAGTACACAAAATAATATTTTACCAGAAAGTCTGGGGTAGCCTGAATGATTAATTGCTTCGCAATTACAAGAAGTAATCGTTGTTTATGAACGGGAGTCAGGCTGCTCAGCAACTGCATTAATCTCCTGCCAGGCAGCGCACAAACCTGATGCCCCGAAAGACGGCAAAAGGCCACGACAACGATGCTTTACACCGACAGCGCGGATGCTCCCAGCACGGACAGGGAGCTGGGGTCCCGCAGCCCGAGGGCCCCCGGCCGCACACCGGGTGGGTTCAGGTCTGCTTTGGGGGCTCAGATGAGGGGTTGGGAGCTCAGGGAGAGGCGGCTGGCCGGGCGGAGGGCACCCCTCGGGGCTGCTGCGCCGCCGGCGGGGCAGGAGCGGGACGAGCGGCGAAGTTGTGTGAGGGCGCAGCGGCGGCCGGACAGCCCGCCCGGCTCCCCGCGGCACGGCTCCTTACCGATGTGCTCGATGAGGTTCCTCCACGAGTCGGCCGTCATGGGGTGTGCGGGCGGCGGCTCGGCGGTGCCGGCGGGGGTCTCCTCAGCGGCGGCGGGGGGGTTCCTGCGGGAGTCGGACGGGAGCCCTCAGAGCCGCGGCGGGAAGGCGGCGGGACAGCGGCCCCTCCGCCCGCCCGCGCCCTTCGCTCCCCCGCCCTCAGCCCCCCCTCACCTGCCGGGCTGTCCCGCCGAGCCGTCCTGGTCGAGGGCGCAGGCGGCGCTCAGGGCCGCGGCCAGCAGCTCCATGGCCGGCGGCGGCAGGCGGCTGCCCAGCAGCTCCGGCGGCGGCAGCGCGGGGCTGGGGGAGTCCGGGCGGTTGCCACGGTAACGGGGGTAGGAAGGCAGCAGCCTGCGCAGGAGGGAGAGGGGAATTGCGGCCGCCCCCGGGGCACCCCCGCAGCCTCCCGAGACCCTCTGAGCCCCGAAACCCCCTCAGAGCCTCTCCTTAGACATCCCCCACCCCAGACGCTCTGCCCCCAAGCCCCCTCCGAGCCTCCTATCTCCCCTCAGAGCTTCTTCTCAGACCCCCCCTCCAGGCGTCCCCGTGGCTTTCCCCCAAAATCTCTAGAGAGCCCCCTCAAATCCCCTCAGAGCCTCCCCTCACACCCCCCGTCTGGCATCCACAGGGGCTCTCCACCAAAATCCCCTCAGAGCCTTCCGAAACCTCTTCAGCGACCCCCTCTGGCTCTCCCGCCAAAACCCCCACGCAGCTCCCTCAGAGCCTCCCCTCAGACCCCCCCTCAGAGCCTCCTCACAGATTTTCCTCACAGAGACCCCCTCAAACTCCCCTCAGAGTCTCCTCTCGGGCTCCCGCAACCCCCTCAGA